GAGGTTATAAAGGGATTTAATAAAGCTAGTAATATGGCATTATCACTGTTGAGTACCCACTGAAGGAGTATTCTCCTCTGATACCCAAAGCAAGCTTTTACATCCTGAGTGGCCCTTCTTAGGCATTTACCTATGTGGATGCATAAGCCTGTAATAATGAATCAATGCCCAGAGGTAGTGGTAGTGGTCCATTTGTCCCTTCTTTAACCAAGGAGATGCTATTTTAACGGGTAAGATGCCTTCAGTGAGAAGCCAGCAGCCATGGGGGAACCTTAAGAGCAAGCAAAGGGCAGGCTAATAGAGTACCGCAGGTCTACAGCTGATGGTCTATTTTGCCCAGGCAGAAACAGATGACTCCTCATTTGATGTGAGGGATGGCACGAGGGGTTCTATCTTTTTCTCCATTCAAATCCCCTTTTAGGGGATTGATAGGTGTTCACGGATGCTAGTTCATTTGGAAATGAGAACTCTGTGAAAGCCAGAATCATTAATGGTTGTGGGAAAAGGCAAATTCCGAACTGTAGCTACCTCTGTTGTTGGAAGCTTCACTGCTTGGCGCAAAATATATAAAAAAGGGATTCTTTGCCTGCAGTGAAGTAGCTGGGGGCTCAGCAGCAATTTCAGATTATCCATCTTGTTCATATGGCTATGTGAAGAAAATAATAGTTAGAAACATACTTTAGGATTCATTCCAGCTCCACATGGCAAAAGCTCAGAAAGAGAATGAATGTTTGAGTCAGTAAGCCCAATGTACAGTGGTAACACTTACAAAGGAGGGCAAGAAAAGAGGGCAAGCAGTGTATTTCCTATATATATATCAACAGGTATTCTCTATAGTTAAAGCAGTGTTTCAACTGCATCAACCCTTCAACCAAGGGTCCAGATCCAAAGTTTAATAGAAGCCAAGGAGGGTAGCTACTGTAGAAGCCGGTACAGTGTATGTTGATTTAACCTCCTGAAAGCAACACCCTGATCTTTGTTTTTCCTGCTGCAGCTTTCTGAACAGGCCCAACAGTGATTTCAACAGAGATTCAAGGGTTTTTTTGAAACTCTAGCTCAGGGCTTGAAAAATAGTGATATTATTACATGCCTTAACAGAAAATGTCACCGAGTTACCATTGGCTGGACGTTTTGGCAGTTGTATTTTTGAGTACCCAAGAACTGTTCCATTTTTCAGTCCTTTTGCCTCTAAGTAGGAATGCAGATGCAGCAGATCATAGGGATTCAAGTGGCTATGCTGGGGCAACAATATTAACCTTCTATCACAGCAGAGGATCGGTGAATGTTTCCAGAAGTATCATCTATTTCGTAAAGCAAGGTGAAGGACATTTGCATTTACACAGAAAATTACTGCCCAGTAGGTTACAGTCTCCAGGTAAACTGACTAGGACAGAGGCATGCTGCAAATTAGCTCTCCTATAACACATAGCACTAAGTAATCACATCACTACTGATGCCAAGTATGTAAATTACATGTACAATCTTTAGTCAACTCGTTTGTCTAGACAGCTGCACAACAGACATTGCAGTTCTACTGTCCACTAAACCCAAACTAAGTGCCCTGTCATCCTTGTGAATCACCTTGCCTGCCTGCCATCCTTTCCTGGTTTAATGTGGGCAACACCAAAACAGGATAGAGCTATTAATATTTTTGTTGCATTTCTCATGGGA